GTTCTCCTTCCCAGGAGACCTGAGTGCAACCTGAAACCTGCAAAGCACCTGAAAGGGCCTTATTGGAATGTCTGCAACCTCTTTCCTAATCTTGAGATTCTTACTAGATGCAAATACGGTGGCCTGACCAATAGCCTCTCCCCCGTCTTCCACCAAATGTTCTGTTTTTACCATCTGGTCTCATGAAGAGTTCTGAGGAATCAGAAGCCTGCAGGTTATTTTGTGACATTTTTTGTTGACCTAATAAGGGCGTAAACTGGCCACAAAAATTTGCCTTGTATATGTTGGGAAGCAACCCAATCTGTTTCAGTTTCATGCTGTATTTTCTCAGTTCAATGTGTTAGACCCAAAACTCTGTTTTCCCTTTTACTATAATGGGGAGTGAGGAAATGGCTATTGCTTCCCTCCCTTTTTACAGAAGCAGATAAAATTTGCAGGCTAACACTTGACAGTGAATTAAGACTGCCAAAGTTCAGGCTGATGCAACCAGGGGGTTTTTTTGTGTGCAAGGAACATTTAAATGTTTTTTCAAAGCCTTCTAATTTTGCATTTTTTAAAAAAATGAAAAACTGGTGACATAAGGGAGGTGCCTCTGGGTAAGCAGGTAATATTAGGCTGGCAATGAAGTGAAAAAACAAAAGAGACAAACAACCCCCACCCCACAGGGAGGAGGGGATAAAATGTTAATAAAACCAGTGCTTTTTTCTGGGGGTCCTCAAGGGCACGCAGTACTGACACATTTTTTTTTCTAGAAGGAAAGCAGTACATAAAACTACTAATACTTGATAGCAAGAATTGAATGTAATAAAATCACGGGTACCCTAAAACAGAAGAGAGGAAGATGAAACTTTAAACAAGCAAACTAAAACCAGGAGGGGGGGAAATTGGAAATGAAAAAAAAGAAAAGAAAGAAGCACACACAAACCTAAGGAAAATATGAGAAAACAAATGAAATGAAAAACAAATAATTAAATTAGGTGTTGTTTGTTGGAAAACAGAAAGAGATTAGAATTAAAAGGAATGAATAAATCACACCGAAAGCCCTACAGCTGAACTAAGGGGGAGAGAGAAATAGAATGATCCTATATAGAGCTCTCCTAAAAGTTAGCAAAGATCTCTCCCTAAATAACTCCCAGTGTAGTGCTCTGGAAAAATAATTAACTAGGATTAAAACTCAGGCCTGTTTGTCAAAACCAAATATTCCTCCAACTCTCCACCACCTTCCCACTTGAATTCAGCTTGGTTTTACTTAAAAATAAAAAAATGCACCAGTTACTTTATTTTAATACATCAATTTTGGGACTCCCAAGTCCACAGAACATCTCAGGACATTAGGGAGTTCTTGATCTGACTCAATATGCCAACACTGGTTATGTGTGTGGGAAGCATGGTTTTACAATGTTTGAGGCTGTGTATATAGTGTTTCTACAGGATTGTTTTAAAAGCAAACAATTATTCATAATACAAGAAATATGGCCACTGGCTCAATATAGTCACCTCCTTTGTTCACATGACCACAACTGTTTTCAATGTTTCTGAGACAATACCTTGTAGTGTTCAAGAAACTGTGATCTTTTGTTAATACCAGAAAACATCCAAAAGAACAATAAAACAGTACTTTATTAAAAGTAAATTTTTCCTAAATACAGTGGTAAAGGTAAAGGGACCCCTGACCATTAGGTCCAGTCATGACCAACTCTGGGGTTGCGGCACTCATCTCGCTTTTTTGGCCGAGGGAGCTGGCATACAGCTTCTGAGTCATGTGGCCAGCATGACTAAGCTGCTTCTGGCAAACCAGAGCAGCGCATGGAAACGCCGTTTACCTTCCCGTTGGAGCGGTACCTATTTATCTACTTGCACTTTGACGTGATTTCAAACTGCTAGGTTGACAGGAGCAGGGACCGAGCAACGGGCGCTCACCCCGTTGTGGGGATTTGAACCGCCAACCTTCTGATTGGCAAGTCCTAGGCTCTGTGGTTTAACCCATAGTGCCACCCACGTCCCTAAATAAGTGCTTAATTTGTTCTGGAGGTCCGTTCTTAACCTGAAACTGTTCTTAACCTGAGGTACCACTTTAGCTAATGGGGCCTCCCGCTGCTGCCGCGCCGCCAGAACACAATTTCTGTTCTCATCCTGAAGCAAAGTTCTTAACCCAAGGTATTATTTCTGGGTTAGCGGAGTCTGTAACCTGAAGCGTATGTAACCTGAAGCGTATGTAAGCCGAGGTACCACTGTATTAGTATTTGGCATTAAACAAGACATCAATATACTTAAAAAGAGGGTATCTCAAAAAATACATAACTCCATCAGGCACAATTCAGCCAAAGCTAAGCTCCTTTAAGCTTACAGTTAACATTTCCATTGAAGTCAATGGATCTGAATTGTGCCTAAAAAGATAATTTGGAAGGTACATGTCACAATGAAATTGAATAACTTGCATTTGTAATTTCTATAAATTTGCATCAAGTAAATTCCTATGAACAAAATTAAATTCATTGAAGATTCCTTTTTTATAAAAAGCATACCACCATCCTTAATTAAGTTATTTCATTTGCTAACCTAATAAACCAGGGGCACTGCATATTCTGCACAGTGGATACAGTAAATAGCATGTTATATTCACCTTTTTCATGTATTCCCTATAATACACCACTGGTGGGCAGCAGCCAAGTGCAATGTGGCTGAGTATGATTGAAAGATCAAAATGTAACTTCACAAGAGTGTACATGAAAATAATCTGGAACTTAGTGTGTTTTGCAAATAGGCATTCTTGCTATCCAGTGTTTAATAATTCATCACCCCAGCCCAGCAAAACTCAGTGAACAATGAAATAACTCAGAACCACAAATATTAGAGCAAGGACATAGCAAAGGGAAAATCTAGTATGACATAGCTCTGGAGTTTAAGAACAGATTAGAGCTGTAATAAATATACACACATATTCAAAATGCATGAAATTTCCCAATGTTACCATTCAACATTTTAATGAATTATTCAGAATTTCAATTTAAACATTCCTTTTCGATATTCAATATTCAATTTTATTTTATTGTTTTTTTACTTTAAAATGCAGATATTTAAAACTTTGGGGCATCTTTTAATTTGGTAGGTTCCAGATTCGAAAATACAAATATCTATTGCATGTTATCTATCAAATGCTATACAGATATATTTTTGTAAAAAAAAAATATGCAGTTATAAGTCAGCTATCAAATACTGTCAAATATTAAACACTGTTGTGATCCTCCTGCAAATTGTGCCACATATAATATAACAATGATTTCCAAACATTCTCCTGGGAACTGATTTCTTTGGAATCCTATTGAGGTGACTTTTATCAGAAGACAAGCTTTCCTAAAAGACATAATGCTTATCATCAATCCAGATCTTCTTCTGCCCTGCACAGGCACAAGGCAATGTTCAGTGCGCTCAGCACTTCACAGTGGATAATGTGATGGCCCAACAATGCATTGCCTCAACTACGCATGCATATCCCCAAATCACCTTCATTGAACAGGCACTCCTTGGCAGACAATGTGGAACTCGCTCTCTTGAAGGAAGGAAGTTTGAAAAGCTCTGTGATATGCCATTGCACATCAGCTATCAGGACTGTCGAATACACCAGATATAATTGTGCGCCAACTACCAAATATTATGAAAGATTAGTTGTCGAATGTCAACCATGGAACTGAAATATTCCTGAGTGTCAAAGGCAGGTATCAAGTAGTCGGTGAATATCTGACAAATATTTGGTTATTCAGAGAATATCTGGAGGCTATTTGACTTCAACATTCACAAGGGAGAATTTTGGGGGGACAAATTAATTTCAGCATGTGTAAGAACGATCATAACAGATCCCTCCGCAGGTGAGGGGATCAACATAAGGTTTAGACTGAGCTGTCTTTCCTTCATCATCCTTCCTGGTTGACTGTCAGAAACTCCCAAGAGCATGAATATATTGCGGGAGGAGGGTTGTATGGATTTGTGCCTTGCAGGGACATGTAGGTCACCCAGTGAAAGCAACTGCACATAGCCAAGGGGTTTTTTTTGTGCAACTGCAGCCTTTAAAGTTTGGGGTGTTTTTAAAAGGAATCCTCCTCTTCGAGTTTTTGAAGACAATTTGCATGAACGTGACATCAGGAGTGAACAGCATGGAGGAGCAGAGCCATGGATCTGACCTCTCTATTATGCAGTCACTGCAGGCAAGGAACGCCTCAAGTCCAATGTAGCTCATTTTTGTATGCAGTTAGTGGTCCGTATAGTTAAAGCTATGGTTTTCCCAGTAGTGATGTACGGAAGTGAGAGCTGGACCATAAAGAAGGCTGATCGCTGAAGAACTGATGCTTTTGAATTATGGTGCTGGAGGAGACTCTTGAGAGTCCCATGGACTGCAAGAAGACCAAACCTATCCATTCTGAAGGAAATCAGCCCTGAGGGCTCACTGGAAGGACAGATCCTGAAGCTGAGGCTCCAATACTTTGGCCACCTCATGAGAAGAGAAGACTCCCTGGAAAAGACCCTGATGTTGGGAAAGATGGAGGGCACAAGGAGAAGGGGACGACAGAGGACGAGATGGTTGGACAGTGTTCTTGAAGCTGCTAGTATCAGTTTGACGAAACTGCGGGAGGCAGTGGAAGACAGGAGTGCCTGGCGTGCTCTGGTCCATGGGGGTCATGAAGAGTCGGACACAACCAAATGACTAAACAACAACAACAACAGTGGTTCCCAGTGGGGATACATCTTTACCCATGGCAGATGTTACTTTTAAGTTCAGTGAGATAACTGGATGACTATTGTAATGTCTGTATTTAGATCATGGGTAGGGAATCCATGGCCCTCCATACATTGCTGGACTGCAACTCCCATGATCTCTGGTAGCAACAGATGGGGGCTGTCCAACAATGTCGGAAGTCCACAGGCTCCCAACTCCTGATTGAGATGCATATTTGCATTGCCATGGACATTGATTTCCCTTGCTTGATTTGGGTGATTCAAGTAACTGCTGGATAGCTCAGAGCGTAAAGCACGAGACTCTTAATCTCAGAGTTGTGGGTTCGAGCCCCTCATTGGGCAAAAGATTCTTGCAGGGGGTTGGACTAGACTCTCATGGTCCCTCTACAATTCTATGATTCTAAGTCTAAACAACCACCTCCCAGTGTGATTGCTGTACCCAGCTCCTTAAAAAAATAAAAATAAATCATGGTCATATTCCTAACATACTGAACAATAAGTAGAAATCAGAAGAAAGTGTGTGTGTAATTTTGTGTAGAAATAAAGCCGAGTTGCCTTAAACAAATTATGCTTACAGTAGAGTTTAATGCTTTTGTGAGTCTTAGAATTGGTTGGATTACTAAATCCTTGGTTGCTAAAGGTTAAGTAACTTTTTCTTGAAATAATTGTGTGAGATTGTGCCCTTGGCAAAGTTCTACCAAATTCAGTTATCCACATAATCACAAGCAGGACTCAACAGGAATGTTGGACAAGATTCTCCTCAACAAAGTTACATGATTAACCAATTCCACTCTATATTCTTTTCATGAAATGTGAAAAGAAAATGTGATTTCTTCCCTTTCCCAAATAGGAACCAGCTTTAACAGTGCAATCCCATACCTGTCTATTCAAAGGTGAACTCAATGGACTTACGCCCATGTAAGTGATGATGATTAAGAGTTAACATGGAACTTGATTCAGTGTTCGGTTAAGCTTCCAATTTGTGTATTACCTCCAAACACTCATGAGTAAATGTGTACAGAAGATTAAAAACCCATGGAAAAGTTTGTTAAATAATTTTGGCGCTTTCTTGACAGCACTCCTGTTTTGTAGCTAGTATAATGCTCTGCTTAGACCTGGGTCCTACTGTTATATGTTTGTGGTTGGGCTAGATCAGGGGTCAGCAACCTGTTTCAGCCATGGGCCGGTCCACTGTCCTTCAGACCATGTGGTGGGCCGGACAATATTTGGAAAAAATAATAACGAACGAATTCCTATGCCCCACAAATAACCCAGATATGCATTTTAAATAAAAGGACACATTCTACTCATGTAAAAACACACTGATTCCTGGACCGTCCGTGGGCTGGGTTGAGAAGGTGATTGGGCTGCATCCAGCCCCTGGGCCTTAGGTTGCCTACCCCTGGGCTAGATGTTATCTTAGGGTCCCTTGCAGTCATGTGATTTTATAGCTGTGAGACTACAATCTGTGGAAGAGGATAACTGCAAAGAAAATGATCAAACCCGTTTGTTTGCTAAGGAAAGGAAGCACTGGGTGACTTTTCTGGTGGGTCAACAGTTCTTTAAAAGAAGGAGCTCCCCTCCCACATATACACAGAGAGTTCAGGTTTTTAAACTTTGGCATGTATAATTTCTTTGAATTGTTCAAATATCAAAAAATCTCATATAGTCACATGAATTAATACAGCAATAAGAATTCCTTTAGGCACTTCTTCAGGATTTTGTGGCAAAAAAAATATATTTAAAAAATGTCACTGACCCAATTCCAACCCAACATCAATTTATCTCAAAAGATGTCATTTCTAATTTGCTTAACACCTTAATTAAATGAAACTGGCTATCTTGCCAAAAGACTAATAACGGCGAATATCTTGTAAGAGATTTCTTTTGATAATGAGTTCTGGAAGTGATTAATGCTTACACATATGTAAACATTTTCACTATGTCATTAGCCGCTGTGGTGCTAATTTATACAGATTAAGGCAGGGAGGCGACTATGGATTTACATTGCATGAGTAATCTATGTAAGACAGGAACAATATTTGAATTAGGTGAGAAGGGAGATTTTAATTCCCCCCTTCTAATTCCTAATCTTTTGATGCTATTTATTACAAATATATAAATGGTAATTTCTAATAATATTATACGAAGTTAAACAAGGCAGTCGTTCCAGGCAGAATGCAGCCTGCATCTCAGTCAGGGGTTCCTTTTACAAAGGAAGATGTACCTGCTTTTGTTTCAAGATTATCTTTTGATTCCATATTATCAGTCAAATGTAATTGAGATGCAGAAAAATATATAATCTTATGCAATCTGATGACATGCAGATTCAAAGGCTGCTCTTACCAAAATTGGCAGCTGTGAAGTTATCACTCTGTGCTTTCTGATGTCTCTGTTCTATTGTTCTTGTAGTCGAAATACAAAAGAAACACCTCTGGTTGGGAAGGAACAGATTTCCAAGTTTCCACCTGAACAGGATCCCCATTGTTTCCTAATTAACCGTGCCTTATTAAGCCTTCCAGCACAAGGGAAGGGAAAGCTGATAACAATGTATCTATATTACTCATTGTAGATTGTTATCCCTGTAGGGTGTTGTGGTTTGTTTGCTTTTTTGGCTTGCTTGCTTGTTTGTTTCAAAATTAGTCACCAAATCTAATCATCTTAAACTACCATCAGTAATCGATACCAGAAATGGTGTTCTGTGTGAAAACTTTCTGTAGGAGAGCAATGCAACTGATGTCTGTGCTGGTGGCAGAGTATTCACATCTGATGATGCTTGTGGAACTGTATCCATGGCCTTGTTTTGAGTCACTGTCCTGGGGTGGCCATACACTCAGCAACAGGTGTGCAGCCTTCTGTTACATTTGCAGTTCTGGGATCAGGAAGAGCGTGTGCCTGCAACATCTACCACATCATCATCATAGAGATTTGGCTTGTTGCATAATATTGTTTGGCCCACTCATGAGATCCTTGAATGATGATTCTTCTTAAGACAGCCCAGACTTTTTACATAAATCCACTTACAACAGCGCAACAAAGTAGGCCAACATTCCAACCTCTCACGTTGTGGGTGGGTGTTGAGGATGAGAAATCATGGGTTTCAAAGGGCCATGCCCTGTAAATTTGGGACGGAGGTGAGATCTGAACCAGCAATGTTCTGGCTCACACAGTTTGGTGGAAATTCAGGTGTGGTCCAGGAATTTGTAAATTGCTCCAGTGTCCACAGGGATACAGCTGTGGCAAGGAGGCAACATCAGATTGTGATTCCAAATAATATCACACCACATTCCATTCTGTCAGTCACAACTTGGTTGTCAACCATTCAGGGTGGGGGACAGAAGGCCAGGCCAGTTTTCTGACATTTAGGTCAGCTTTGAGTAGGTGTGTATGACAGAGTTCTTTGAGCAGGGCCATCTTAAGCATATGTGGCGCCATGGCACAAAGCTCACTCTAGCACACACCCCCCCCCCCGTTTCCCAGAGTTTTTAAGGGAGGATGGTGCTGCTGGCGGGGCTGGAGGAGGCGGGCAACAGCTGGAGGGTGGTTCCTCTGGTGAGGGAAGAGGCGGAGGCTGGATGTGGCGCCTCCCGGCTCAGCTGGCCGCTTTGTGTCGCGGTGGTGACAGCAGACAGAGGCTCCAGGCACAGCGCTGCTTCAGCGTGGCATGGCGGAGGCGGGAGAGAGTGGCGTGCTGATGCTGGGAGGCACCGCATCCACCCTCCACCTCATCCCTGGCACCCTCCAGAACTTGGCACCCTGGCGCCCTGCACCACTAGCCTCTATGGGTAAGACGCCCCTGTCTTTGAGCAACATACAAACATCAGAGAATGTACTTGTAGAGCCACATGGGAGGGTGGAAGTAGTTGTGTGTCAGGTGAACAAGCAGTGAAATGAGATGTTAGGTCACAATGGTTGTTGCTTTGTGGCAATATAGTTATCCACAAAGCACTCCAGTGTCATGGACTGGTTGGATGTAGAGGAATGGTGGTAGGAAGCAGCTGAGGAACCACCAAAGGAAGAAGGTTCAGAGCCCAGGAGTGGTGGTGGGACAATGATGAGTGGTCAGAGGGAGAAAAGGGAGAAGATGGAGAAAAGCAGGTGTTGGAAGCTGAAGATGTAACAAGGCTTAGTGAGTTGGGAGAGCCTCTAGCAGAGAAAAGTCCAGAATCAGACGCAGAAACTGAAGCAGGGGAGTGGGAGGAGGGAGGCCAAAAGGCAGAGATGAATCAAACATGTGAAGAGTCACAAGTATCTTCCCCTTCTGCTGAGACACGCTCCCCTCCCCACTTGTCTCCCAGAACCAGTAGAGGCATGAAAAGGGCGGAGGAGAAATTGGCTGCAAGCAGACACAGTCTATGATTGCTTGGGGAAAACCCTGGAGACGAGAGGACTTTTGAAACCTCCCCACTGTGATGGCCTGGGAATCCGATTCAGAGGCTGAACCGGAGGAATCCCAGCCTGCACAGGAGTCCCCGCCTCCAGGGCCGGCTGAACTGGGGCAGGGCCTTGTTTCTGAAGCGCCTGCACCTGTGCCGGATCCTCAGGAGCAGGCACCAGGTGAATCCACTCTGGCTCCGGAGGTGGTTGAGGACACAGTGCCTACAGGTGCACCTCTCCCAGCCCTGTCAGGGGAAGGTGAGTCTCCCCCTGGGTCCAGTAACCCTCCAGCCTCTCCTGAGCTGCAGAGGCTCAGGGCAGAGAGGCGGAGGGAACTGGTTTCTCCCAGGAGGAGTGCTCGCCTTAAGGCCAGGAGAGGCGGGTCTCCTGGGGGCCGGGACCGCCCCTGGCCTCAGAGAAGATAAAGGCCAGTCAGCCCAGTCCCAGGTTGCAGGAGCAACGTTGTTGAAGAGCTGTTTCGGGCAGCACACAGTCCTGTTCCTCCAGAGTTCCTGTCCTTGCCCGGCTCCTTGCTTTGGACCCCGCTTCGCCCGTGGAGGACTGTCTGCCAACCCTCGACTCAGGTCCTGGACCTCGCCCCACGGTAACCTCCCCCCGGGACCAGCACACCCACTCAGCCAAAAAGTTAACTGGGTGACCTAGAGTCAGTAACTGCATCTCAGCCTAGCCTACCTGCCAGGGTTGTTGGTGAGGATAAAAATGTGGAGGGTGAAACCCATATAGGCCATTTTGAGCTCCTTGGAGGAGAGCATCAATCAATCAATCAATCAATCAATCAATCAATACTAATCCCTGAACAACTAACAAATGAAGCTGTGAGCTCAGCTGAAGATGGAGCGCAGTCAGCGGAGCACTTTGAGAGATTACAAGGTGCAGGTACACATGTCCTCTGTAGTAAAAACAGTTCTGTTGAGCTTTAGTGGCTGTGGTAGATTTGCAGGAATA